AAAAAAAAAGAAAAGAAAATATAATATAATATTTGAATTCATCGAAATGGCGGCATCTATGACCAAGATTGAAATGAGGGATCCTAACCTGGACAGGGGCACAGCAGTGAGAATTTGAAGCATGGTTTAGAAATGATGTCGAATCAAGTGTGACTAGAGATTAGGAGCTACAGGACCAGGAGAGGAGACCTGCAGAACTAGATTAGCACCAGAATGCAGAAACCATGCAAAACCAAGCAGACAAGTTTGGAATTTCTCCTATAGTTGCAGTGGGAAATGGTCAGATCTATGAATTTGATGTAATGATGTGGCAGGTCAGGGTCAGAAGGAATAGAAGTGCTGATCATTGAGTCAAGTTGGAGAGTTAAGAATAGAGTAAAACCTGTGTTTGGAGGTTAGATCTTGAATGGTTTAGTAAATGTCAGTGGACTAACAGGGTAGGAACCCACATCTCAAAAGATCTGAGGAGCCAAAGTACAAGGAATAAGAATGGGTGGCCTTCTCAAGAAATTAGATGCATCAGACATGGCAGCACATGCCTGTGACCCACCACTCAGGAGGCTGAGATAGCTTAGAGCCATTGTGGGTTACATAGAGAAACCTGGTCTTGAAACTAAATAAATAAGAATGGGTGTATCTTTTTATTAATATTGATAGTTCAATAAAGGGTTCTCTAATATAGCCTGTCAACATTCATCTAGATGGCCATCTCATGACTGGAGACTTTTTTTTTAATGTTATTAGATTAATTCAAAAAAGGAAGCAAGTGGTTCACAGAAGAAATCACAAGACAAGGGCCCTAAAACAGGGTCAGTAAAGAAGGAGAAAGCAGTGAAGCCAGAGGAAGGTAACAACCATTTGGGGCTCTTTAGTTTTGCCACTTATCAGGAATAATGTCACGTGGTAATCCATGATGCTTAGTAGCATTGTGTGTTATGGAGCATCTGCTGTTTTATTTCTTTTTATTTTATTTTATTTTTTATTTTTTATTTTATGTGTATGAGTGTATTGCCTTCATATATGTAAGTGCACCCATGTTGTACAGTACCCACAGAGAGCAGAAGAGGGTATTGGATCACCTGGAACTGGAGATACAGTTGTTAGCTACCACGTGGGTACTGGGATTTGAACCCAGATCTTTGGCAAGAGCAGCCAATACTCTTAACCACTGAGCCATGTCTCCATTCCCCCATGGTCTTACATTTCTAGAATAATAAAGCTCCAAAATAATATTAGTATGCTATGAGACACCTTGGATGTGCCAAAACAGAAGGGCTTGGAGAATGAGCTTTGGAAGGGTAGGGTCAGTTGTAGGTAATTCCAGCCTTCAATACTCTGCGTTTGTACTGAAACATGAATCCCAGCAAAAGCTGAGGTGTCTCAACATACCTCATCTTCAGTTATGTGCTAGTTCAGCTCACTGTTTGCTCCTGGTGGTATTGCAGAGAGCTCTAGAGAGGTTACAGCCAGCAGTTTTCCTACTTGGATTTCCTTGTCCAAAGCCTGTGTTCCTGTTTTTTTAAACATTTTTTTCTAGGCTGCCTCTGCCCCTGGAGCTGGGATTAAAAGCATGTGCCATTATAACAGTAAACCTTTTGTGAATTTTAAGTATATGTCACTCTTGAAATAAAAAATAAATGTAGTTTACTTAAAGATCTCCTGTGTTGAGTCCTTACCTTGTGATTGGAATTTTTAGGACAAAAGTCTGGGTTCTGGCAACTCCAACAAAACAGGCTCATCCACCTGTCCCCAATAAATTAAGTAATGATGGAAAGCAGAGAAAGGAGATTTATTCAGTGTAGCACCTTGGGAAGAGGAACAGATAAAGGAGTCCAGTTTCCCCAGGTCCACCTCCAGTGCACTGTCATGAGCTTTAGGATTAAATCAAGGAAGAACTGAAGCAAGAGGTCAAGGTGCAGTTCTCTCAGTTCTGATTCAAAGAAGTGGTGTCATCACTTGAGGGATCAGTCTGGTTTTACTAGATGATCCCTTTTGTTCCAGGGACAGCTTTGCCCTTTTGGATAATTGCTGTCGTGGGTGGGGAACGTGTGAGGCTTTGTTCTTCCTGGAATCTAAAGTGATTGAAGGCTTAAGACAGTGATTTAATCTGTGACTTCAACATGGAAGGTGAATGAAATCAGTTAGACAGACACTCCTTGAGCAATTAACACATAACCTGCAGAGCTAAGCTGCTGATCCCACATAAAGGAAACAGACACAAAATGAAAGCCAAGGTTCTAGTCTTATCCTACTTTTAGCTACCTTATGGGCCCAAGTACAAAGCCAGTGTGTTTTAGCAAAAGCAGCTTCTAAGTGTGTTTCCACTGAACGTGTGTAAATCCAGGGACATCTCTGGGACTGACAGGGGAGACTTTGGGGATAAATGGACCTGTTTTCACTGTAGCAGGCATTTGATCTTAGGAATTGACATGCTGATTTATCATGTCTTTCAGAAGAACAAATGTGGATTTTTAAAATCATGATTTGGAATAATTTATTGATACACCCAAAAAACACGTGACGTAGAAAACTTTTGGTTCCTGTTACAAGCAGCGTAAGTCAGAATATCACTAGGGAATATTTGTTCTCATTTTATGTAGCCACTATCCTGGTTACTCATAACTCTGAAAGTACCCAAGGTATGTGTGGCTTATTTTGGTTTTAATTTTATGTGTATGAATCTTTTGCCTTCATCTAGGTAAGTGTACCCATGCCAAGCAGTGCCCACAGAGGCCAGAAGAGGGTGTCAAATCCCCTGGAACTAGAGTTACAGACCATGGTTAGCCACCATGTGGATGCTGCCCTTATCAGTTCTTACTAGAGTGTTACAACTGCCTGCTTTCAAATCTGTCCCCCATATAAACGGTTGAAAGACCTAGTTAAAAATAGGAGACTAGGGACTGGAGAGGTGGCTCAGTGGTGAAAAGCACTGGTTGCTCTTGCAGAGGACCTGGGTTCAGTTCCCAGCATCCACATGGTAGCTAACAACTGTCTGTAACTTCGGTTCCAGGGGATCTGACACCTTTTCTGGCCTCTATGAGCATCTCACATGGGTACACTTACATACATGCTGGAAAAACACACACATGCACATAAACAATAAAAGTAAATCATAGAAAAGAAATAGGCCAAAGATTGTAACACTTACTTTATTCCTTGATGTTTAGGGATTGAAGACTAAACATCTTGTCACTCATAAGTTGTGAAGAGAAATCAGCCTTAAAGAACACAGAAGCCCAGCAGGCTTATGCCTGTAATCCTGGCTACTTGAGAGGTTGGGGCAGGAAGATCAAAAGTTTAACTCCAGTTCCAGGAGATCTGATGCCCTTTTCTGGCCTTCTGCATTGTGTGCAGGTGGCACACTTACATATGCACACCAAAAGCACTCATACACATAAAATATAAATCAATAAGTAAAAAATTTAAAGCACAAACAAGATACCAGCTTGCTTTCTATGTGAAGTCCTTTAAGTGCTCCCAGTTTTAGAGCAGTGTATTCTAATATTTTTCCTCATACAGTGCTCATAGAAAGTGTTCATATTTGTAAGGGATTCTGGGGGGCACAGAAGAGACTGCTACTAGTTCTGCCTACTCCAAGTCGCGCTGGGAAATTGAATCTTGCCATATTTGTAGCCCATTCTCTTCAGATGTTTTTCTCTGCTCAGGAAAACTCAGATGCCACTAGGCTCGGTGACTCACTCTTTTAATCACAGCACTCGGGAAGCAGAGGCAGATGAATTTCTGTGAATTTGGGGCCAGCCTGATATACATATCAAGTTTCAGGCCAGCCAGGACTACACAGTGAGACCCTCAAAAAAACCATACACATAAACCTCAGATGCCACTGTTTACTTGCTGCAGCTAGGCAGCCCCAGGGAGTCAAATTTGCCAACTTGCCTGACCATACATGCTGCATGTCAGTTTCCCTGCTCCATACCTCTGCTTTCTTAACCTGTTGTCTCTGCACGTTATCTTTACTAGTTTGCCACAAGCAGTGCAGGCTATATAAAAAGTCGTCTTCTCTGAAACCTGCCTGCAGACTAAATCCCATGTTGCTTGCATACAGCTCTGCCATTGCATTTAGCACATTACTGTGTTTCATCTGCCTGTCCCCCAGGCTGTGACGACACCCTCAGCTAGGTCCTCAAAGGCCAGGGACCTGGTCTCAGGTCTGCTGGTCCTGGCCTTTAGATGGTGCTGAGTAAATGTGGAATGAATGAATGTTTTGATGAAGAAGTAGTTCTAGAACCCTTTGATGCTACAGGTTCTCTTGATTCTGCTACTCTGTAAGTGACTGAGTTTGAGGGGAATAGCTTTGTGGGTTTTTTTTTTTTTTTTTTTTTTTTTTTTTTTTTTTGGGTTTTTTGGAGACAGGACCTCCCGGTACCCCCGGGTGGCCGGGGGCTCATTATGAAGCCCGGGCGGGCCTGGACCCCAAAGAGACCCCCCTGCCTCTGCCTCCCAAGTGCTGGAACTAAAGGCATACACTGCCACGCCCTGCTGGGAATAGCTCTTATTAAAGGGAGAGTTCTCTAGATCATGTGAAAGGAATAGAATTCATTTGGGCAAAACCAAAGCAGTTCACCAGTTGGACAGTACCCAAAACCCCAGGTTCGGAAAGCTCCTACCAACAATGTGATCTGACAACAGCATTTATAGGAAAAAGTTCAGAGTAGAAAACAACCTAATTGGCTGTAACTTAATCCAGTCATCCCATCAGTTGGTTTTAGCTTAGCTAGTTAATTTATTTATGGCCCAGGTCTTCCTACAGTCCGTCGAAGTTAAGTTACTGTGATGAGGGGGCTGGAGAGGTGACTCAGCAGTTAACACTGGTTGTTCTTGCAGAAGACCTGGGTTCGAATCCCAGCACCCACGTGGCAGCTAGCAACTGTCTATAACTCCAGTTCTAGGGGAATCTGATGGCCTCTTCTGTCCTCTGCGGGCATTGCACAACATAGGTCCACTTACATGCAGGCAATACATACACAAGAAATAAATAAAAAGTTACTGTAATCAAACACTATGTTGGATGGATCTGTTGGGTCCAGTGTAGGTGCCTCATCAACACCCATAACTTCTACAAAGTTATATACCACATTCTTCCTTCTAAGTTAATGTTTCTTTTTCTCTCTCCTAGGACAGCTTGTGCAGCTGGAGGAAAAGGGTCAAGGATCTGTGCCCTGGTCAGTCTATGGTGTGTACATCCAGGCTGCAGGGGGGCCCTTGGCATTCCTGGTCATCATGGTGCTCTTCATGCTGAATGTGGGCAGCACTGCCTTCAGCACCTGGTGGTTGAGCTACTGGATCAAGCAGGGAAGTGGGGTAAGAATACTCATTACTGGGACGTATGTGTGAGGGTATGGCCTTATCTCCCTGGTTCTGGCTGTTCTCCAGGAAACTCTTGTAGTTCACACTTAAAAGAAGCATTGGAAACATCGTGTGATACCCCACTAATGTATATAATTTTATGTTTTTTATATGTCAGTTAAAAATAATTTCAAAGAAGAAACAATGAACAAGGACGTTCTAGTATAGTGTCACAGAACAGAAAAAACAAAACAACCCCGATCATCCCAGGGGCTATAGGGATGCTCAGTAAGTAGGACACTTGCATTAGGAAAGAGAGAAGTAGGAAGCAAGCTTGCCTTTGTGTTTGCCATGACCAGGTCCCAGGGTCATTCCCATGACTCTCTCTTTGAGCTGAGAATGCCCCTGAGTACCTGACTGTCTTTAGGAATCTCATCTCATGCTACTTTACTTCCAAACAGAACAACACAGTGACTCAAGGAAACAGAAGCTTTGTGAATGACAGCATGAAGGATAATCCCTTCATGCAGTACTATGCCAGTATCTATGCCCTCTCCATGGCAGTCATGCTGATCTTGAAAGCCATTCGTGGAGTTGTCTTTGTCAAGGTATACCATAGTAGGTGATCTGTGTGCCCCGTCTCCCTGGGAGCATATGACCAGGCTTTGGCATGGCATATGTGTGTAACAGGATGACCCTGCTGAAAAAATGACATGTTTCCCATTAGCCGTAGCCTTTTCCTTTTAGTCACCTGTGCCTGCTCACCATCTGTACCTTCCCCGCTTTGGGAGTCAATGTACCACGTCACCTGCATGAGTACTAATTGAGCCTGTTTTGATTCTCCAGCTCTTTGGGCCCTGATCACTTTGTCTTTGCTCTTCAGGGCACATTGAGAGCCTCCTCCCGGCTCCATGATGAGCTTTTCCGAAGGATCCTTCGGAGCCCTATGAAGTTTTTTGACACTACCCCTACAGGAAGGATTCTCAACCGGTTTTCCAAAGACATGGATGAAGGTATCTCCCACCGGTCCTCTCTTTTGTGCTCTGGAGCACAGTCAGAGCTTGCTGCGCCTCCAGCGTTCTGGACATAACCCCCGCCACACACCCAGATGTGCGGCTCTGTCTGTCCTGAGATTCAGAAAGCAAGCACAGTGACTGCTGACATTTGCATCAGAAATCTTTTGATTGAGTTTTCCTTCTGCCTTAAAACCTGAAAACAAAGTCAGAGGATCAAGTTAGTAGAGGGGCTTAGACCAGGATGCCTGTAATTCCAAAGTGCTTGTTTACTTGGTGGTACTGCATTGGTTCTTAGACACTTACAGCTTCTGAGGGGCTTTCTGTATGCAACATAGGCTGTGCCTGCACTAGAACTCAATATTCCCCATCACCCAGAATATAGTACTGTTTCCTGTCTTTATTGAGAGCCTACTGTACAATGAACAGCACTGGGTATTTTATGCATCTTGTCCTAATCCAGGAAACAGTGCTGGGAGGCAGCTGTTATGTCACCATCCAGTATACAAGACTGACATTCAGAAAGGTTAAGTAACTTGCCAGGTGTGGTGGCGTACACATTTAATCCCAGCACTTGGGAGGCAAAGGTTAAATAACTTGCCTAGGATCAGACAGCTATCCAGGTGACCACATTGGGAATTAAGCTCAGACCTTTTTTTTTTTTTTTTTAATGTTTACGAGTGTATTGCCTGCATGTGTGTGAGTGCACCCATGTTGTATAATGCCGCGAACGTCAGAAGAGGGCTTCGGATTCCCCTGGAACTGGAGTTAAGGACAGTTTGTAGCTGCCATGTGGGTGCTGGGAATTGAACCTGGATCCTCTGCAAGAGCAGTCAGTGCAGATTAAGACTGCTGAGCCATCTCTCTAGCCCCAGCTCAAATCTTTTTTAACCCCAAAGTTTAGTGTTTTTAACTACTGTGCCTTGGTTACTTCCATAGGAGGAATTTTTTTCAGGGATCAGTAGGTCAGTGTAAAGCTATGGGTCAGAAGAAAAAGGAGTCAGGAGCAGACTCAGTACAAGAACTGTACATATTTTCATTTTTGTTACAGAGAGAGAGAGAGAGAGAGAGAGAGAGAGAGAGAGGAAATAAACTTGCTGGTTTAATCCTTGCACATAGGAGTTTGAGGCAGGAAGATTGTGAGTGTGTGGCTATCCTGGGCTGCATAATGTGACCCTATCTCAAAAGCAAAAAAAGTAGGGATGGAGGAACTAGAGAGATGGCTCAGTGGTTAAGAGTACTGCTGCTCTTGAAGACCCGGGTTTGGTTTCTAGCACCCACATGACAGATAACAACCACCTATAACTCCAGTTCTATGGAATCTAATGTCCTCTTCTGCCCTCCAAAGGCACTGCATGCATGGGGTGCCCTTACATACACCCTCACATACATACAGGCAAAACACTCATAAACGTAAACAAATTTTTTTAAACAAGAGTTCACTTCCACCTTAAGAAAAGGGGTGTGTAGTAGGGAGGTAGCCAAAAATAAATGAAGAAAATATTGACTGGTGAAGTTCTGTACTCTTGACTGTTTCATATGTTTAAACTTTTCTTGTGTTAGCACAAGTTCATTGGTATTGGTAAGAATATAGATTATCTTTGTTTTCTTTTTCGCATATTTATTTTCCAAATATTTTACATAAGAATGAAGTAGTGTATGTTTAGCTCCATTTTCTTTGCCAAAGCATATGAAACTTGTTCACTTATGGTTCCCCCAGTGGACGTGCGCCTGCCATTCCAGGCTGAGATGTTTATCCAGAATGTTATCCTGGTGTTCTTCTGTGTTGGAATGATCGCAGGAGTCTTTCCATGGTTCCTTGTGGCAGTCGGGCCCCTCATCATCCTCTTTTCAGTTCTACACATTGTCTCCAGGTAAACAGGAGGTATTAGTGTCTACCAGAGCCAAAAATAAGGCCAGGATTGCCAGCTTCCCACTGTGACAGAAGCCTGTTTTCTCACAGAGTGCTGATTCGTGAGCTGAAGCGTCTGGACAATATTACACAGTCACCTTTCCTCTCCCACATCACGTCTAGCATACAGGGCCTTGCCACCATCCATGCCTATAATAAAGGACAAGAGTTTCTACACAGGTTAGTGTGGCTGGGGACCTGTATCCCAGCTGTTAGCAATCCTCTTAAGAGCCCTTCATGGCCAGAGCTTGGAATTATAAAGCTCATCACTTAAAGGTATTACTGATTTAATGGACCTGTCTGTGATTAAAATGTAGTTGCCTGATAAGATTTCTGGGAAAATGAGAACACAGAACATGGAACGTATGTGGGTATATGACATACTGCCTTTTGAGAATATATTTGTGTATACAACATTTTGATATCTCTGAAAGAATTCATAAGGAACAGTAGTAGCTATCCCTGGAATGGGAAACTGGGTACCTGAAGAACAAGCAAGAAAGACTGACCTTTTGTAGTGAGCATTTTAAGACTTTTCAAGGGGCTGGAGAGATGACTCAATGATTAAAGCACTTGGTACATAAGCATGAGGACTGGGGTTCAGATCCCAAGAACCTATGTTAATAGCAGGTGGGTTTGACAGCCCATCTGTCATTTCAGTCTTAGGAGATCTGTAGAGCAAACTAGCTAGCAGGATTAGCCATGTCATCTAGCTCTGAGTTCCATTGAGAGATCCTGCCTCAATGAATAAGGTGAAAGAGTGATGAAGGAAGATTCCTGACACCAACCCTGGGCCTCCGCAGGCATGCACATGCATGTGCACTCACACACATAGAAGCTCATGCATGTGCACACACACACCATAAACACAATAAAAAAGAACCTCTTAAATTTTCTGTCTAATGTAGATATTGCCTATTAAAGTAAGAAGTAATTTTTACATGAAAATTTAGAGTAAAGAGATTAGAAAAAAATTATTCTAAATAAAGACTTCCTTGTGTGAGATAGGGAGCTACACAAAATAAGAGATGAAAGGAAACACCACAACAGACACCAAAAGCATGCCAGACATTATGAGGGAATACTTTAAAACCTATTCACAGCTGGGCGTGGTGGCACACCTTTAATCCCAGCACTTGGGAGGCAGAGGCAGGCGGATCTCTGTGAGTTCAAGGCCAGCCTGGTCTACATAGTGAGTTCCAGGTCAGCTGGGGCTACAGGGAGACCCTGTACCAAAAAGACAACAACAACAAAAAACCTATACTCTATCAAATTTGAAAATGGATAGATATCTAAAATCATGGGAACCACCAAAGCTAAACCATGAAGAGATCACTAGTTTAAACAGACCTCATAACATAAGGAAACTGAAACAGTAATACAAAACTTCCTGACTAAAAAAATCCCAGGCCCACATGGAGTTACAGCAGAATTCTATGAGACATTTAAAGAAGATCTATAACCAATACTACTTAAATTATTCAAAAAGATAGAAACAGAAGAACTCCCAAATTCCTTCTATGAAAACAGCATTACTCTAATACCAAAACCAGGTAAAGACACAACCAAAAAAGAAAACTATAGATCCATATCTTTAATGAACATAGATGCAAAAATTCTAAAAAAAAATACTTGTAAACCACATACAGACACACATAAAAAAGATCATCCACCATGATCAAGTAGGCTTTATTCCAGAGATGCAGGGATGGTTCAATATATGTAAGTAAAAAATGTCATAAATCATATAAATGGACTCAAAGATAAAAACCACATCATTGTCTCAATAGATGCAGAAAAGGTTTTTGACAAATTCAACAGGCATTCATGATGAAAAGTTCTAAAAGGAATTGGACTGGAGGGAGCATACCTCAGCATAATTAAAGCTATATACAACAAACCCACAGCCAACATCATTCTAAATGGGGAAAAAAAATGGAAGTATTCCCATTAAAATCAGGAACCAGAAAACAATGTCCATTATCTCCTCTCCTTTTCAATATAATGCTTGAAACTCTTGCTAGAGTAATAAGACAAGAGAAGGAAATTAAAGTAGTACTAATTAGAAAAGAGACCAAATTATCCCTTTTTGCATATGATATGATACTATACCTAAGAGATCCCAAAAATTCCACCAGAAAACTCCTAGAACTGAGTAACACTTTCAATAAAGTGGTAGGTAGCAAAATTAATCTACAAAAATCAGTAGCCTTTCTATATGCCAGTAACAAGCAATCAGAGAAAGAGTACAGGGAAACACTTCCATTCACAATAGCCTCAAAAAAAGAAAAAAAAACCACGGAATAAACCTGACCAAAGACATCAAAGATCTCTACATACCAAAGAGACTAGGCCTTCCTGGCCTTGAACTCACAGAGATCCATCTGCCTCTGCCTCTGGAGTGCTGGAATTAAAGGCATGTGCCATCATACCTGGCCACATGAAAATTTTAAATCTTTAAAGACTGAGGAAGACACCAGAAGATGGAAGGACCTCACATGCTCATGGATTGGAAGAATTAATATTGTGAAAATGACCATCCTACCAAAGGCAATATATAGATTCAATTCAATCCCAATCAAAATCCCCATGACATACTTCACAGAATTAGAAAAAAGCCATCATAAGAGGTCAGGAAGAATAGGAGGAACATAAAGAACTGCAAAAGAAAAGGTGACTTCTGACCTTGAAGGACAGAGGAATAGAACAGAGAAGCAAGTGACAAGGGCTAAGGAAGGTGTCCCAGTTGGAGATTCACGGAGCAGGAGACCAAAGGACATGATGAAGGCCTCATTTCTCTGCCAGGTTCTCGGCCTTGTCCACAATATGAATGTTTTCCAGTGTCCACAATATAAACATAAAACTCATATTTTTGTTGCTGATGGTGCAAGAAAACTAGCACAGACCGTTGATCTCAATGTTCTAGGCTAAAGCTTACCTGCAGATCACTGCAGAAGTGGTAAGAAGATTGCCACCACCTCCACAATGATTGCCAGGTGCCCTGGAAATTGCCCTGCTACTTAGTAAGAGGCACATCAGAAATGAGCATTGTGGTAGCGCACAAAAATAATGGTCTTGATTGTGTTATTCCTAAAGAAATAATGTTTTATTCTCAAATTTGATCTATGACTCACAAATAAAATGTTAATCTATACTGAAAGAAAAGATTAGGAAAGTAAATTCAAGGCCAGCCTGATCTACATAGTGAGTTCCAGGCCAGCTGGGGTACACAACACACACACACACTACAGTCTAAAACCAGTACTTTTCCATGCAGGTTTCTGCACATGTAAGAAGACTTCCAGGTCATCTTGGGGTTCTAATTCAGAAAGTTAGGCCACTTTTTTGTGTTGCTGATCATTGAATGGAGTCCTCAAAATTCTTTGTGAAAGCTGGGTGTGGCAGCACAGGCCTTTAGTCCCAGCACTTGGGAGGCAGAGGCAAGTGGATCTCTGTGAATTCAAGGCCAGCCTGGTCTAACTTGTGAGTTCCAGTACAGCCAGGGCTACAGGGAGACCCCCCCCCCAAAAAAAAAAAACAACACTCACTGGAGAAAAGACAAAACCTTCAACAAATGGTGCTGGCAAAACTGGACCTCCACCTGTAGAAGAATGAAACTAGACTTTCACCTTGCACAAAAGTCAACTCCAAATGGATCAAAGACCTCAATGTGAAACTTGAAACTGAAGCTGTTAGAAACATTGTCAGTAAACTACAAGATATAGGTTTAGGAAAGGACTTTCTAAACTGGCCATCAGATGCTCATCAATCAACAAGTGGGACCTCATTAAACTAAAAAAACTTCTGCACAGCAAAAGAAACAACCAAGAAAGTGAAGAGAAAACCCACAAATTGGGAGAAAATCTTCACCAGCAACACATCTGACAGAGGTCTAACAACAAGAATATATAAAGAACTCGAAAAAAAAATCATCCAATTAAAAGATAAGCTAAAGATCTGAACAGAGAATTCTCAAAAGAAGAAATAAAGATGACTAAGAAACATCTTTAAAAGTGTTCAACATTGTTAGTAATTGGGGAAATGCAAATTAAAACCACCTTAAGATTTTGCCTTACCCCAGTCAGACTGACTAAGATCAAGTAACTGCAGGGAGAACAATTTAAAAAAGGAAAATCACAAAAGTTCAATTAGAAAAGAAAAACATAAATTTAAAGCTAGGGAGCTACACAAGCCTTTATGCACATGCAGCACTGGGATGGGATTGGCCGGAAAGGCAGCACAATACTAACTTCTGGAATTTGACATTTTCTTCTCTTTTATTATATTTTATTTATAGATTCATTTTTTTGTAAGGAGGAAAAAACTTTAAAACAAGACTCATGTGGCCGACAAAGCTCCCTCTTTAGAACTCCAAGTTCTCAGAGTGGTCGGATCTCTAGACTGAGGATGGTGGTGCCACACCCTTCAGCAACATATACTGCCTGAATCCCTCTTGCTGCGGCTCAGCTCACCTCTCCTGCTTCTTGGCTCTGCAGTGGTGTGAGGCATATGGCACATAATGTATAGCTTCCTATTGAGACTTCCTTTTCTTTGGCCTTGGACTACTTCTGTTTGCCTTTGTAACCTTTCTTTGAGAAAATGACCCTGACCTAAGACTTTTTGTTTGGTTTTAGGTTTTTTTGTTTGTTTAGTTTTGATTTTTTTGAGACAGTCTCACCAAGTAGCCCCAGCTGGCCTGGAACCATTATGTAGACCAAGCCAACCTCAACCTCATAGAGATCCACCTGTCTTTGCTCCAGGGTGCTGGGATTAAAAGCGAATTTTTCCATGCCCACCTCTAAGATAACTTTTCTAAAGCACAGCACAAGCCTCTGGTTTTGATCTCCATGCCCATGTTCCCCCTGTGCTATAAAGGAAGTTGTTTCTCCTTAACATCTTTTTTTTTGTTTAAGACAGGGTCTCACTGTGCAGCCCTGGCTGTCTGGAGCTTGTTATGTAGACCAGGCTAGCCTCAAAGTCACAGAAATTTATCTATCTGCCTCTGCCTCTCAAGAGCTGGGATCAAAGGTGTGCACCACCATACCCCCACCCTTCCTAACATCTTTAATGTAGGTTTTAGTGTTTCCAAAAGAGTAACTAACAATACACCGTGTCCTCTTATGTGAGACTTTAGAATACCTGTACTTCTGAAGTTTCCATATAATTCTTGGTTGAAGACCAGAAATACTAAGTATTTACCTTGCATTCTGTGGCTCACTCAAGCTTTGACATCCATCCATGAGGGGATTGTATGGTACATTTTTTGTTCGATAGCTGTTCTATCTTCCTCACAGGTACCAAGAGCTGCTTGATGACAACCAAGCTCCTTTCTTCTTGTTCACTTGTGCAATGAGGTGGCTGGCTGTGCGGCTGGACCTCATCAGCATTGCCCTGATCACTACCACTGGGCTGATGATTGTTCTCATGCATGGGCAGATTCCCCCAGCCTATGCAGGTCTTGCTATCTCTTATGCTGTACAGGTCAGTATCTGGGTTGGTGGTATTTGACTGGAGAAGGTAGGGTTGGGAAGAAAGGTGGGGAGTGGGATCTAGGATTAAAATAGTTTAACTCTGCTGTATGTGTTTAAGGAATACATGTAGGGGGGCTAGAGAGATGGCTCAGCGGTTAAAAGCACTGACTGCTCTTGCAGAGGACCCAGATTCGATTCCCAGCACCCACATGGCGGCTACGAACCGTCCTAAACTCCAGTTCCAAGGGAATCCAAAGCCCTCTTCTGACCTCCGTGGCATTGCATGACACAGGTGCACTCACATACATGCAGCCAATATACTCATCCTCATGAAATGAAAATAATAAAATATTTTTAAAAAAAAGAAATATAGTGAGCTGGGTGTGGTGGTGCATGACTTTAATTCCAGCACTCCTGATGCAGAGGCAGGCAGATCTCAGTGAGTTCAAGGCTAGCCTGGTCTACATAGCAAGTTCCAGGCCAGCTGGGGCTACAGGGAGACCCTTTCTTAAAAAGACAATGAATGAATGAATGCATGAATGAATGAATGAATGATTGATTGTAGGGCCAGATGTGGTGACACATGCCTTTAATCCCAGCTCTTAGGAGGCAGAAGCAGGCAGATCTCTCTAAGTTTGAGACCAGCCTGCTCTACATAGTGAGTTCCAGGTTAGCTGGGGTACAGGGAGACCCTGTCAAAAAAACCAAAAAAAAAAAAGAAGGAAGGAAGGAAGGGAGGGAGGGGGGGAGGGAGGGAGGGAGGGAGGGAAAGAGGGAGGAAGGGAGGAAGGGAGGGAGGAAGGGAAGGGAGGGAGGGAAGGGTAGCACATGCCTTTGATCCCAGTACTTGGGAGACAGAGGCAGGTAGAACTCTGAGTTTCAGGCCAGCCTGGTCTACATAACAAGTTCCAGACAGCCAGGGCTACATAGTGAGACCCAATCTCAAAAAAGAAAAGAAATATGTTATCTTAATTTAGAAAAATAAAAAATTTAAAAAAAACCCAAAATCACAGTTTTTCGGAGCTGGAGAGATGACTCAGTAGTTAAGAGCACAGACCAGAGTTCAGTTCCCAGCCCCATATGGTAGCTCACAACTATCTGAACTCCAGTTCCAGAGGATCTAACTCCATCTTCTGGCCTCTGTGGACATTGAAATGTTTTTTCCAAAAGATTTATTTTAAATTATGGATATGTGTATGTGTTTGTATGTGGGTATGTGCATGTCAGTGAGGGTGCCCTCAGAGACCAGAAAAGGGTGTCCAGTCCACTGGGCTAGAAATTACAGGCAGTTGTGAGCCACCTGATATATATGCTGGGAACCTAACTTTGCTTTTCTGCAAGAGCAGTGCACACCCTTAACCACAGAGCCATCACTCCAGCCCTATAAACAAATAAACAAATATTTTTAAAATTCCAGAGTCTGGCATCTTCCTAGTTTTCTAATAACTATTATAACATTCTCACTCTGCTGCTTACATACACTTTATTTTCAAACTCCTGATTTTCCTAATACTGTTAAATGTAAAAGTCCTTCTAATTGCTAAGGATGATGAAAGGTCTTCAAATAGCTCAAAAAACAATTGAGAACGTGACTACTGACTAAATATTTGAAAGCATTTTAACATCAGTCCACACAAATAATTTTTGCTAAATGTTTTTAATAGTAATATTAAAGTTCGATTTTTAAAGTCGTATTTTAGAGAGAGAGGAGCTAAAGAACTTATGACTGGAGGGTTTATATACACTTCATATGGAGGATGGAGGTGAGAGGAGTGGTGGGGCATCTATGAAACAGGGTTGACTGTAAATGGGTTACTTTGTGTTTCCATTTGATTTTTTAATTTTTTAAATTTTTGTATATTTCATACAGAACATCTCAATCATCTTTGTACCCCCTCCCCATTAGCCCCCTCCCATAGTCCCCCCCACTGGAATTCATACATTCTGTCATTTGTGTTAAGCCCTATCATGTCAAGTTAGTGTCCCCAGATGTCCTTCAGTGCAAGTTCATCTACTGAGGTCTAGTCAGCCTATCTAGAATCTCTCCCTTTAAGATCAGCTCATCCGCACCCAGCAGTAATTAGCTGCTAATAATTCTTCAACTAAGATTGTGGTCTGCTGTCATTTCCACAGTTCTGTGCTGGGTTTTTGTCTGCTTGAGTTTGCATGGCTCTTGTGCATGCTGATACCATTGCTGTAGGACCGTATGAGAAGGGTCCCAGGAGCCTGTAGGACTCTATTCCTGTATGCTCATGCACCTCCTCCCTGGCTCTTACAAATTTCTGCCCCGACTTCTGCAATGGTCCCTGAGCCCTGGTTGGGTGAATTTTAATATAGGAGTCCTATCCAGGGACCCACACTCTGCAGACTCTTACTCTCTACATTTTAGTCATTTGTGACCTTTTGTGTTCCTGGCCCTCTGTTGCATGAGGGAGCTTCATTGATGAGAGTTAAAGATGCATCAGTGGTCACTTCATCCCTTCTTCTATGTTCCCTGAGCCTTAGGTGTAGAGATTGCATTGCAGATGTGCCACTTAGGCTTTGTGCAGTTCACAGAGAATCTCTGTGTGGCCAGTTGTGAAACTCTGTAATAATCTCTATTGAAAAAGAAACTTCTTTGATGGGTAATGACTGGGATAGGGGTTGCACAAGTTTGCACTCCCACCAGCATTAAATGAGCACCCCCTTTCTCCACTTCCTCACCAGCATTTGGTATCATTTGTTCTCTTGATCTTAGCCAGTCTAACTGGGGTAAGATGAAATCTTAAGGTGATTTTAATTTGCATTTCCCTAATTACTAGCAATGTTGAACACTTTCAAAGATGTTTCTTAGCCATTTTTATTTCTTCTTTTGAGAACTCTCTTTTCAGATCTTTAGCCCATCTTTTAATTGGGTGATTTTTTTTTCTTGGTTCTTTCTTTTTTGAGTTCTTTATATATTTTAAATGTTCAACCTCTGTCAGATGTGTTACTGGTAAAGATTTTCTCCCATTCTGTGGGTTTGTCTTCATTTTCTTGGTTACTTCTTTTGCTGTACAGAAACTTTTTAGTTTACTGAGGTCCTACTTGTTGACTGTTGAGTACAAATGGGTTGTTGTTGTTGTTGTTGTTGTTGTTGTTGTCATCATTATTACTTTGGTCTTTTTGAGACAGGGTCTCCCTGTAGCTCCAGCTGGCCTGGAACTTGCTTTGTAGACCAGGCTGGTCTTGAACTCCCAGAGATCCGCCTGCCTATGGGACTAAAGGCATTTGCCACCACACCCAGCTTCAAATGGGTTATTTTTTAAGAAAGAACTTTGGTGCAGAGGTTTATTATTCTACACCCTCTGCTGTTGTGTAATTTGGGCCTTATTCCATATTGCAAAGATAAAAATCAGTCAAATGAACTCTAGAGAGCTGCGTCTTCACTCAAATGTCTGCCTAGACTTACTAGAGGATTGGTTGGGATGACAGTGTGTTATGCATCAGTCTAAAGAGCACAAGGCCTGTGCATTCACTTTTCCTTCAACCTTGTATCTCTTATCCTCACTTTCTGGAAGCATTCTCATGAGTTGCTCACAGATTGAAATCAACATTTGTTCTAGTTGCCACAAACAGGCTAAGATAAAAGTAAGTGGTCCAGGGACTAGGGAGATGGCTCAGTGATTAAGAGCACTGGCTGCTCTTGCAGAGGACCCAGATTCAATTCCCAGCACCCATGTGGCAATTAACAACTGTCCATAACATCGGGTTCCAGCAAATCCAATGCCTTCTTCTGGCCTATTCCAGCACTACATGACACAGGTGCATGTACACATGTAGGCAATACACTCATACATGTAAAAAACAAATAACTAAAATATTAAGAATATATATGTATATATATCATATATATCATATATACATATATTTTTAGTAGGTGGTCCAGAAGTTATACAGCTTCAGACATGTGTTACTGGAAACAAAAACAATGGCTAGAAGGCCTTTGAGTCCAAAGACATAGTGCCCACAAGAGCCTAGTGCACCTGCATGCACCAACACTGCACTTGATGAGGGGTAGTGGGCATGGTATTAAAGGTAAGAAAATAGCCAGGCATGGTGGTGCACACTTTTAATCCCAACACTCAGGAGGCAGAGGCATGATTTCTGTGATTCTGAGGCCAGCCTGGTCTACATAACGAGTTCCAGGCCAGCTTGGGCTAAAAGAGCCAGGGAAAAAAAAGGGAGAGAATCACCCAGCCCTGCCACCACATGCTGCATGTTTGTGCTCACATGCTTCTTATAACTGTGGTCTGCAGATGTAGGAAGTTCTGTCTCATTGTCTGACATGTACTGATAACACATTCTCTCTTGCTTTTTGTTTCCATTTTCAGTTAACAGGGTTGTTCCAGTTTACAGTTAGACTGGCGTCTGAGACAGAGGCACGCTTCACTTCAGTGGAGAGAATTAACCACTACATAAAGGTCAGGACAATACAGGCCTTTTTGGCCCTTTTTGGAGTTGTTTTGCCCTTTTTGTCAAGGATGGTGGACAGGGAGGAGCCTTGGGTTCGCTGCCTTTCTTACCCCCACTTAAGCAAATCAGCAGCCGTACTAGATTGCTTGCAGTAGGATAGATAAGACCATAAGAGTTCTTAAAATTTTGATAAATTATGTGTAGCTTAGAACTCCTATTCATAGGTTAATTTATTTAATTTACAGTATACATTTAGGAATCTTATTTCAGTTAAGCTGACTAATATAACATTTTCCTTACAACATTTAAAACTATTATTATTTTAATTCTTACTCTGATCCAGTTTTCCTTGGCCAAGGACAGCTATCTGGATCGCCCACTGAACCTTTGGCAGAGACTTGTGTGGGGTCTCATCTCTGGAGATCATAGGTCTGAAGTAGGACCCAGGCTTCTGTAGTTTAAAAGCTGCATAGTGAATTCTAATCTATATTAATGATTTAGAAACCAGTAAGCTTAGATATTACTGAGAATATTAGCTCTTCCCGTCCCAGGAGCTGCTGATCTTTCAGTGAGGTAGCATCTTGCTGCTGCCCTCCCTGATACTATAGAGAGGGAAGCAGAGCCATGAGTAGTTAGAATTTTCAAGATTAACTCATTTCTCAAGAGTCACCTGTTTTGTGAATTGTCTTGAGGCTAACAGCATTATGCCATAAGTTACAAGGGTAGAAAACATTTCAAGTTCTAAAATACTGACTTTCCAGCATAGTTTTGAAAAACTCTTTTACCTGAGAACTACATTCTCTAGCAGAGATGTACTTCATCACTGGTTTGAAAATGAACCTCATTAGTTATTAGAAGATGTATTTATTTACTTATAGGTTTTTTTGAGGCAGGGTCTTTCTATGTAGTTCAGTCTGGCCTGGAACTCATGATCCTCCTGGCTTAGCCTCCTAAGTGCTGGAATTAGAGGCATACGCCATAACATCTACCTAACTTACCAGAAAATTTTATTTATTTACTTACTATGTCTCTGTGTGTGTGTGTGTGTGTGTGTGTGTGCGCGCGCGCGCGTGCATGCATCTGTGTCTGTGTCTATGTGTCTGTGCATGCACACACACGCCATGGTGCACATGTGGAAATCAGAGGACAACCTGTGGGATTCAGTCCTCTCCTGCCACCACACGAGTCCCTGGGATTTAATTCAAGTTGTCAGGCTTTGTGGCAAGCACCTTTACCTTTGCCTACTGAGACATCTTGTCAGTCCCTATCAGACGTGTCTTAAAATTATTGTTCTCCAAAGAGTTCAGGTAGCTTTCTAATGCATCTGGTAACTGTTGTTCTTTATGTTTAGAAACTACCACTTTGCCCAGTGTTGCAATCTAGGGAGAACGCATGTGTGCACATGTGGATAATATAGGGTTGAATGAATATTGTTTTGGTGTCTCTACTGGAGCAGACAGAATAATGGGCAGTGAGGGACAGTAGACAGCTCAGATCATTGACATTTTTGAGGATTGCTTTCCCGATGCCAGTCCTGTCCCAACTCAGTCTTTCCAGTTTAGAGTATCAGCCTTCAGTGTCTACTCCCCCAGAATGCTTGTTAGGGACACTTCCCTTTAAGGCTCAGAAGCCAATGGCAAATTGCAAGAGTTTTAAAAAACATTGTGAAGTATGACTTCTGTGACAGAATTGCCTAGGAAGCTATAGCACAGCTTTTTTAAAAAAATTTTATTTATTATTTTTATTTTATGTGTATGAGTGTATTGCCTGTATGTAAGTGCACCTGTGTCATGCAGTGCTGGAGGAGATCAGAAGAGGGCATCAGATCCCCTGGAACTGGAGTTACAGACAGTTGTTAGCCACCATGTGGATCCTGGGAATCAAACCTGAGTCCTCTGCAAGAACAGCCAGTGCTCTTAACCACAGCATGGGCTTTTAAAGTATGAATTCCCAGGGTTGTCTCATGAGATTCCTCACAATTTGAAAATGAGGAACTAAGATCCAGGGAGGTAAAGTGGCATGTACAGGTTACACTGCTCACAGTGGCAAAGCTGGAAGTAGAGTCTGTGTCTCTTGAATTGGCCTGTGTGTTTAGATATTAATTTTCTTATAATTTCCTTCAGTTTAAACATAGCCTAGTGGTGTTCAATTGGTGGGATTCTATTTCAAGTGGAATATTTTCAAAGAATTCCAATGAGAACTTGAAGAGGGATGGGAAGACCTCACATCCTACCACTTAGGTCATCCCTCGGTCCAGGGCATTGTTGTGGACGCAAGCATTGCATACCATGGCCCAGTAGCCATGTACTGTGTGTCTGTCTGAGATGGTGGAGTAAACATTTACTGTCAACATACTGTTTTGTTGCAGGGGTCACAGTAGGCTGCCTTGGTGGCTGCTGTGCTTGCCCTGTTTTTACTTCTTTATGATAAGCTTTGTTGCTCCCAAAGAATCTGAACCAGCCACTCTCTCCTCAGACTCTCTCCTTGGAAGCGCCTGCCAGAATCAAGAACAAGGCTCCTCCCCGTGACTGGCCCCAAGAAGGAGAGATAACCTTTGAGAATGCAGAAATGAGGTACCGGGAAAATCTCCCTCTGGTCCTTAAGAAAGTGTCCTTCACCATCAAACCCAAGGAGAAGATTGGTATTGTGGGGCGAACAGGGTCAGGTAAGGACTACACAGGTCTCTGGACAACTGTTGGAAGTGACCAGAATTTAGTTGTTGGTCAACACAATAGCTTGTCAAAGATCACTTTCATCCTTGCAAACCAAATCCCTAATAGACAAGTAATTACTCTCTCAGGCCCCTCTGAAATCAATTTCCAAGGTTGTTTTTAACCCTGCTTTTATGACGTTTAGTGCTTTCTCAATTACAAAAGCCTACATTCTTGGGACAGAGCACTTGAACACATGGCAAAGTATAGTAGAGGAAAAGCACCCAAAACCCCAGTACCAGGGACATGTTGGTGGCTGTTTTGTCAGTGTTTTCCTGTTAATATACATGTTTACAAAAGTGTGGTCATTCTGTACTCAGTTCTGTAGCCTTCTTTTAGAACCATTGATATTTTCCCAGGTCACTAATGATTGCAGTGTAACATGATACATTATTCTATTTTGTGGGTGTACCATCATTTACATTTGACCAATTCCAAGTTTGTAGGGAATCGACACTATTGACAATTTTTCTTGATTAAGAGTAGCACTACAGTCAAAATATGTGAAGAATTCTCAGGCCTTCATAAGATATTGTCACCACATCCTCCTATTTGTCAGAAGCTTGAACTTATAGATAAGGAACTCATATTGCCTTGAAGACACAAATTATTTTCTTGATCTGATATCAGTTGTGAAGAAATAAAGAACTGTTCTTTGAACCAGGCATGCTGGTACATGCCTGTATTCTTAGTACTAAGGGACCTGAGGCAAAAGGATCACTGCAAATTCAAGACCAATCTAGGCTATATAGACCCCTGTCTCAACAAAACCAAAACAAATTGGCCATCATTTTAAGCATTCTTCTTGACCCTTATTAGAAATATATTGCTATGTATAATGAAGAAATGCTCTCTATACCTCATTTTTTTAAATATTTTATTATTTTTATTTATGTATATGAGTGTAGTGCCTGCATGTAAGTGCACCTGCGTTGTGCAATGCCTGTGGAGGTCAGAAGAGGGCATCAGATCCCATGGAACTGGAATTAGGGATGATTGTTAGCCGCCATGTGCATGCTGGAACTCAAACCCAGGCCTTCTCACAAAGAGCAGCCAGTGCTCTTAACTGCTGAGCCATCTCTCCAGCCCCCTCTGCCTCCTTATTATTAGGCCAGGGAGATGATGAACTGGTCCTACGTCTGTAACAGTCTCACTTTAGGTAATTGTTTTGCTCTTTTCGTGCACTGAATTTCTAGAGTCAAGACTTAAGTAATTGCCAGGTATAAGTAGAGGTCTGTAGTCCCACCTGCTAGGAAAGCTTAGGCAGGAGGATTTTGAGTTCAGGGCCAGCCAAGATAATGCAGCAATAGTAAAAATAATTAATAAGATGGGCGTGGTGGTGTACGCCTTTAATCCCAGCACTTGGGAGGCAGAGGCAGGCGGATCTTTGTGAGTTCAAGGCCAGCCTGGGACTACAGGGAGACCCTGTCTCAAACTACTACAACTGGGACTACACCGAGACCCCGTCTCAAAAACATGAAAATAATAATAATAATAATAATAATAATAATAATAATAATAATAAATTAAAAAGGGTTTGGCATAGAGCTCAATAGTAGAGTGCTTTATTATATATGAGGCCCTAGATTCACTCCCTAGTACTCTCTCTACCCTAAGATGTAATTTTTTTCTTTCCATCTTTCCTTGTAAATGACATTCAAAGATAGTCTTTCCCAATCTGTTTATTCTTGTGTGAAATGTCTACCTGGCTTAGTTATCATTGGTTTTCTGGGCTGTATATTTCTTTGCATCAAAACAAAGCAATTCAATCTTGCTTTCATGAGATGATCTCAACTTCAAGAAGAGACTGTAAGAAATCCAGAATTATAGTATGTTTGTGGACAATGGACATTGTCTTCCTGTATTACAGTTACAAATGCAGACTCAACTATTCTGCCTGTCATTACAACATTGAATTCATTAATCATTTCATCCACCAAACCTGCTTCTCAGCCTTCATTCTGTGTTAGTCATCCACAACTACTTGTCTTCTCAAACCTAGGCCTCCTTCCCCTGTACATTTGCCCCAGAACTTCTCCATCTCTACTGCTGCTGTGGCAATCAGTGCTCTTGCCTTAGTTTCTCTCTCAAGCATAGTCTGGTCAGAGAAAAAAGACTTCCCGTCCTCTGGTTTGTTGCCAGCTAATTGCTGTGGGACCCGTGACCCCCTAATTCTGAAGCCTACGCATCATTAAACCCTGGGTACCTGTTTCTGGGGAGAATCAGAGACAGGTTTTCATTTCATTCCTCAAAGTAGAATGGCGTATCACTCCTTGGGCTGCTGTGTGGCTTCAGTGTTTGCTCAGGAAGGTTAAATACTTTTTCTGTTTCTTTCTTTTTTTAAGACAAGGTCTCCAGCTCAGACTGACTTCAGACTCGCTGTGTAGCTGGAGCCGAGCTTGAACTTCTGATCCTCTTGCCTCTACCTCCCAAGCGCTGGGATTAACAGGCATGCCCAGTTTATATGATGCTGGAGCTTCATGTATGTTAGGCAAGGCCTCATGTATGTTAGGCAAGCACTCCACCAACAGTACATCCCCAGCCCCAAACAGGGGAAAAACACTACAAACAGGGAAAAGAAGAAAAAAAAAAAAGACTTTGCCCCAAGTATAAATCAGTTTTGTCTTTCTAGAAGTTACTAATGGAGCTGCTGCTCTGCCTGTGCTCTGACTCACCAGGGAAGTCTTCTCTAGGGATGGCTCTGTTCCGTCTGGTGGAGTTATCTGGAGGTTGCATCAAGATCGACAGAGTGAAAATCAGTGACATTGGCCTGGCCGACCTCCGAAGCAAACTCTCTATCATTCCTCAGGAGCCAGTGCTCTTCAGTGGTACCGTCAGGTGAGACCTAGACTTCTTAGAAGTCCCAGAGATGCCAGAGTCTGAACCTGAGATGGAAATCCCATGTCCTTGGGTGCAGTGTTTTCCATGTCTTGGAGCTTTCTGTTGCAGTGATGGGAAGGCTCTCTGCTCTATGAGCTGCTATATTAACTAAATGAGGTGGGAAGGCCAGATCTCTAGATCACCAGAGGTCCCAGATCTCCCTGTAGCTGCAGTTATAAGTGGTTGTGAGCCCTACCATGTGGGTGCTGGGACCCAAACCTGGGTCTTCTGCAAAAGCAGCAAGCACCCTTAACTACTGATCCATCTTTTGATCTTCCTTTTGTCAGCATATAGTTTAATACTTATTTTAGGCTTTCCCATCTTTGATTCTTAGTCTGGAACTACTTTTTTTTCTGAAATTTATTAACATAACATAGATGAAATTCCTCTTCTTGACTGTTAAAACAGTAATTAGGAAGAAAATAATCTTTTCCTATATTTTTCTTAAACTTCTGCCTCCTAACACCTAGGGGTTCCTGTGTCCATTTCTATTCAAGTTGTCTTTCCTTGGAAAGAAAAACAGTTTTAACTATGTAGTTGAGCTAGATTGTACTTCTTTTTTACAATCATCCAAATGTAATATTGAATTTCCTATTTAATTTTTAGCAGTTTCCAAAAACAATTGGTAGCAACATAATTTCAGACTTGTCTTTAAAATTAAGTGTCCAGCATAGTGGCACACACCTTTAATCCTAGCACTTGGGAGGCAGAGACAGGCAGATTTCTGTGCTATCAAGGCCAGCCTGGTCTACATAGCAACTTCCAGGCTAGCTGGGGCTACCGGGGGACCCTGTCTCAAAAAAAAAAAAAAAAAACAAAGCCAAAAGCTAAGTGTTCCACTCTTTTTTTAAAAATATTTATTATTTTTGTTTTATGTGTATGAGTGTATTGCCCGCATGTACGTGAGTGCACCCGTGTCATGCAATGCCGTGGAGGTTAGAAGAGGGCTTCGGATTCCCCTGGAACTGGAGTTAGGGACGGTTCGTGGCCGCCATGTGGGTGCTGGGAATTGAGCCCGTGTCCTCTGCAAGACCAGTCAAAAAAATGCCATAGCCTAGAAGACTTAAATATCAGAACACTGTTGCTCATAGTTTGGAAGTCCAGACTGGTGTGTGGTAAAGGCCCTCTTCCTGGCTTGCTGTCTTATTATATATTCCCATGGCCTTTCCTTGATGTATCATGAAGGCCTCATCCTCATGACCTAAGCCTTTTTTTTTTTTTTTTTTTTTGAGACAGGACCTCACTGTGTAGCCCTAGCTGGCCTGGAACTCACTGTGTAAATCAGGCTGGCCTCATACTCACAGAGCACAGAGATCTGCCTGCCTCTTAAGTGCTGGGATCAAATGTGTGGTAGTCCACACCTGGCCTCATGATACTGATTGCCTCCTGCAGGCTTCACCTCAATTGGAGGTTTGATGAATTCAGCATAGGTACCTACAGAAATAAATCTTTAGTCCATATGTAGTAAAGAAACTGAATTCTTAACTGTAGTCATGTAGTCAAGACTATTGGAAGTCTTTATTTTAGCATTTTCTCCTATTGAATTTAGATGTCATGTATTGGATCTCCCTTTTATTAAGATTTTTTAAAAATTTGTATGATTTTTATTTTATGTGTATGTGTGTATTGCCTGCATGTAGGTAAGAGCACCCATGTCATGCAATGCCCTCAGAGGTCAGAAGAGGCTGTCAGATCCCCTGGGACTGGAGTTATGGACAGTTGTTAGCTACCATGTGGGTTCTGGGATTTGAACCCAGGTCTTCTGCAAGAACAACCAGTGTTCTTAACTGCTGAGCCTTCTCTCCAGTCCCTAAAGATTTATTTTTATTTTCTGAGTATAAGTGCTTTGCCTGCATGTATGTGTGTGTACCACATGCTTACAGTGCCTGTAGAGGCCAGAAGAGGGTGTAGGATCCCCCAGAACTGGAGTTACAGACCTTAGTCAGCTATTGTGTAGGTGCTGGGAACTGAACCTTGGTCCTCTGCAACAGTAGCCAGTGCTCTTAACCACTGAGCCATCTCTCCAACCCCTATACTGGATCCCTTGATGATAATGAATCATTATCCTTGGATACTTAGGTAGCAAGTTCATCATATGAGCAGCATGAAAGAATTACACTTGGCTTATCTCTCTTGCTAGAGTTTGGGACTTTGGTCTCTATCAGGACTAAGAATTGTATTTTTAGCTTCAGCCCATCACCAGCAGAACCATTGCAAATGCTTAGCCCAACCATGATCCCCATGTCTCTTCACATGTACTATGAAGAAAATTGCCCTAAAGATTCAGTGGACTCACAGCCAGAAATGTTAGTAAAGGGACTTTGCAACTTAATCCTCAGTCCTAGTGCCAAACTTCCTTCCCCTCTATCAGAAGGTCAGCCCCAAGGCAAGACAGAAGAAGTATCTTTCAGTGGCTTTCCTGCCAGGCATTGTCAATGCAGAGAGAATGACAGGCAAAATGGAGATATCTCAAAAACAGAAGACATTCCAGGCTTTAAAGAGAACCAAGAGGGAGGTCAGAGTGAAGCAAGAATTGTGTCGTTCAAATGTAGCTGCAGTTTCTGCAGATCACGGATGGGATCCTTCTGAGAATGCTAGAATAGGACATGATTAGGAAGTCAATTTAGACCTAAGTCTTACACTGTTTTTTACTGCCATTGATGTCATACAGCAAGCAAGAAAGCTGCTCTGCAAGATTAGACTGTACAGTAGTAACATCTGTATTTAAAAATGCTTTGTAGCTAATTTGTATTATTTGTGTCATAAAAATAATAAAATGTAAATCACATTTTACAGAAAAGGGAGGCCTAATCTCCTGTCTTCCTGGCTAGTTGGGGAATGATCATCTGTGACCTTCAGAGCTGAAATCCTCTGTTTTCTGTGTTCTTATTTAACCTTTACCACAAAAAATAAATAAAATTTTGTTTCTTAAAGATTGACCTCTGAGAAATTTTATTATGCTTCTCTCTAGATCAAATTTGGACCCCTTCAACCAGTACAAGGAAGACCAGATCTGGGATGCTCTAGAGAGAACACACATGAAAGAATGTGTGAGTGGAACTAAGGGCAAGCTATCCCAGCGTCACAATGGTGGGAACATGGCGGTGCTGCTCTCCCTACCTATCTCTGTCTCCCTCTCTCTAGGGACCGCCTTTCCTTCCCACTCCATGATGTCTGTGGAAGAGTACTTCTAAGCAGGTGTTTGCAGGCATTTCACACACATCCTAAAAGGTGGTCCCTCAGGGACTGCCGAAATGGCTCAGCTGGTAAAGATGCTTGCCACAAAGCCTGACTATTTGAGTTTGATTCCTGGGACTCACATGGAGGAAGGAGCAAACTGACTACCACAAGTTGTCCTCTGACCTTCATGTGTGCACCATGGTACATGCACACCCACACGTGTACACATACACACACAAATAAATACATGTAATAATTTCTTTAAAAAGTTCTCAGCCCCAGTCCTACACTGCTCGTGATCATATTGACCCCATATTCTCCATTGACTGAGAATATATTAATGACAGTTATAATTTAGTAATTTCTATTAATTATAACAGCATAACATCCATAATACATAAAACATATAATTTACTACTGACTCTATAGAAAATACATAGTGTGCCCATAGGTCACAGACTTCATAGGGCAACTTAGCAGACCCTTGCCAGCAGCCAGACTGCAGATGGGCATCACTGGTCTGGAGTAGAGCTCTTTGCCCCCAAGTTGAGTCTAGCCTAGTATCCACTGTCCTGATTCACCTGGGTGAGCCTTGCCTTCATCTTATATCAAGTAACAATTTCATTTGAAGACTGGGTTCTGTGAACCTTGCAGAAAGAAAAGGCTGACAGCATGGGCCTGTCTTTTGACTTTGAGAGTAGGATTTTGCTTCCCTCATCTCCTTTGGCATGACTATTTTCAGAACAAAAATGAGGGCCCACCATCTAACAAGATCTGAGAAACATGTAAATATTGGAATTCCTGGGATATTTTCATGGTATGAAGCTAACAGAATCACGTATTTGAAACATGAACTGTCCTAGAAAATGTGGTACATGTGTAACCACATGTCTCTTTCAGATGAGCCAGGGTATAACTAGTGGTTCTTTTTCATCTGTTTTAGAGGGATTGTTTTGTTTGTTTTGTTGAGGTGAGGGGATTTGTTTCACAAACAAGATTTGACTATGTGGCCCACACTGACTTGAACTTTCAGTCTTCCTGCCTCAGCCTCCCAAGTGCTAGATTACAGGTGTGAACCACCACACCTCACTAGAATAGTTTCTTTTTACCCCTGGATTTTTGAAAGGTTTAATTTGGATTTTTATATTTCTGACTTCTATTCCATTCTTTCTAGATTGCTCAGCTACCTCTGAAACTTGAATCTGAAGTGATGGAAAATGGGGACAACTTCTCAGTGGGGGAACGGCAGCTGTTGTGCATAGCAAGAGCCCTGCTGCGTCACTGCAAGGTGAGATGCATGGCAGGTAGCATGACGTGGGTGTAGCCCTGCCTCATGGCTCTAGAGTCTCAGGTTCCTCATCTCTGAGCCCAGTGGCGCATTCTGAGAGCAGTATTTCTGAGGTAATCTGGACTCCCATTTGGCGTACTGGTGTGAGTCATCTGCTTCTTTAACTTGTTTTCTCAAGCTTTGGTACTGTATGATGTGTTAAGCACATGGCCTTCATACTCCCTTTCTTCTGCCTTCTAACTCTCCCAAGCCGTTGGAATCCGAGGACAACTTTTCTTTCTGGCTAGTGAGTAGTAGAAGTGCAGATCATAGACGATTTAAAGACTGCAGGAGACTTCATCAAAGGAGCCCTTCGTGTTCACAGCTAGGAAAGGGAAGTCCAGAAAAGTTAACATATAAGTCATTATTACATGTATGTATATACTGTTCCTAGAAATCGAGCAAACATGGGTTAAATGAATTCCAAGCAAAGGGCATTTTTACATATGTGTGAACCTACTAAGAATAAATAGTACATAGTATAAATCATCAGTGTTGAAATACATTTTAGTAAAACTGAGATTAACAAGAATGCTTGAGGAAGTAACTGGCTCTCTTTGTCCTCTGCTTCCCTGGCAGATTCTGATTTTAGATGAAGCTACAGCTGCCATGGACACAGAAACAGACTTGCTGATTCAAGAGACCATCCGGGAAGCATTTTCGGACTGCACCATGCTGACCATTGCCCATCGCCTGCATACAGTTCTGGGCTCTGATAGGATTATGGTGCTAGCCCAGGGACAGGTAGTGACTCCTTCAGAATCTTTGACTTGGCATGTGGCTGTGTCTGGGAAGAACACAGGCTCCTGTCAGGATGGGCTGTTTGTTGTCCCTCAGGGTTTGGGGCATTCAGATAAGCAACTATAGCAACTTTGTTCCGTTTGCTGTTGGAAGGGATGCAGTCAGGCGACTGGATCAGACAGGCTTGTATTACATTCTAGTTTGCTTTTGATACTTGTTCTTTTGTGGCTTGTAAGCAATAGCATAAGCCAGCAGGTACAGGCTCTTAGTGATTTATTCATATACACAGGAATCTCCCAAAAGCACCCAGAGCAGCAGCCACCCTAGGTTTGCTTTTGCTGCCATATAGTAGTGCCAGACTTTTTATCCAGTTGTTCCAAACTTTCCCACAGTCTGGTCCTAGCCCAGCGTTCCTCACTTCTCTTTCCTCCTTGGGGATGTCATTGTCCTATAAACAGTCTTATATCCTGTATGCTGTTTCACCTCTCAGTCTTTCCAAAGACAGTCCCATCTTCCTGCTGAAAACCTCTCTAGCCCTAATTGAGGCCTTAGCCACCTTAAACTATATCCACCCCTCCCTTGGAACTCCTCTACAGCATCTGTAGTGACTGTCTAACAGTCTCCCTAGAGAGTTCCCTGTAAGGCTCTAAGGAAGAAGTCCATGCCTTCTCTCATCTTTGGGTCCTCATTAGTGCTCAGTGTGGCAGCTCTTTGCACAAGTAGTTGTTAAGTACATTATGTTGGGAAAATTACTCCTTTTGTAAAATAAGCCATGTATTGTGGATAACTTGTCTTTTGTTACCAATAGTAATAGCACCATGGTAGCTGCTTCCACTGAGTGTTTAGTAGGTGCCAGGTGCTCTGCTTGGTGCACTACATCTCATCTCTCCATGTTTGGTAATTCCTCACAACTGAGAAAGAGACAGGGTATTTGCTCTCTGTGTTTTATAGGTGAAGAGAGGAAGGCTCATGAATTTGACCTCCCTCAAGCCACAGGAAGTGGAAAAGTTGGTGTCGGACTCATACTAATGACTCCATGATCAGCACTTTTCCCCACATCACACTGTTTCTTAGCTTGTTGGGACATATTGAGAGAAGCACTCAGTAAGGCAGGTCCAGTTGAAGCTGGGCGTGGTGGCGCACACCTTTAATCCCAGCACTTGGGAGGCAGAGGCAGGCAGATCTCTGTGAGTTCAAGGCCAGCGTGGTCTACATAATGAGTTCCAGGCCAGCTGGGGCTACAGGGAGACCCTGTCTCAAAAAGACAAAAAAAAAAAAAAAAAAAAAAAAAAAGAGTTGAGAAAATACAAGTATAATTTTTTTTTTCCCTTACCCTGAAATTATTTTGATGTTGGTGTTCTTGTGACTGTCCTTGTTTGCATTAGCCTAGTACTGAGATACATCTGATATGCAGAGTTACTACTGTTTATGTAGATGTTAAGTATAACATGAGATCCTGTCTTTAAAAGGGGGAGGGGGGCTGGAGAGATGGCTCAGTGGTTAAGAGCGCTAACTGCTCAGGCAGAGGACCCAGGTTCAATTCCCAGCACCCACATGGTAGCTATGAACCGTCCTTAATTCCAGTTCCAAGGGAATCTGAAGCCCTCTTCTGACCTCCGCAGCATTGCACGACATGGGTGCATTCACATACATGTAGGCAATGCACTGATACACATAAAATAAAAATAATAAATAAAATATTTTTTTGAAAAAGGAGAGACAATACCATGATTTGTTAAAGAACCAAGGGAAATCCAGGCCATTTTGTTTCTAAGGGTGATACTATTTTAGAATGACTGATTTTTTTTTAAAGTGTATTGTTTTAGAGTGTTTTGCTTGCATGTATGGAAGTGCACCCATGCATGCAGTACCTGTGGAGACCAGAAAAAGCATCAGATCCCCTGAAACTGGAGTTATGGTCAGTTGTTAGCTACCATGTGGGTACTAGAAACTGAACCCAGGTCCTCTGCAAGAGTAGCCAGTACTTGTAACCCCTGAGCCATCTCTCCAGCCCTGATTGATTCTTTTATTGAGACATGGTCTCACTATGTAGCCCTAAAATTCACTATATACACCAAGCTAGTCTCACTCATAAATATCTTCCAACTCTGCCTCCTGAGTGCTTCGATCAAGAGTGTGTGCCACCACATCCTGCCCTAGAATAATTGATTCTTTAAGGGGAACACTAGGCTGTGGGTGTAGCTCAGTTGTAGAGTGTTTGCCTAAGCATGCAGAAGGCCCTGGGTTGCTGCATAAACTGGGCGTGTTGGCACACACCTATAATCCGAGCATTTGAGTTGTGGAAACCAGAGAATCAGAAGTTCAGGGTCATTATCCACTATGCACTTGGTCTGACTACACAGCCAGCCTGGGCCACATGAGACCCTGTATTAAGAAAAATAATAATAATGAAAGAAACTCTATCTCCCCCCCCCCTTTTTCTGTTAATTAAATAACTCTTAACTTTCTGTGACTCTGAGGAAGGTCAAGTTCCTGAGCCTCGGTCTCCTTGCTTGTGAGCAGAGTTAACATTCTTTGCCTTAGTTGGAAGGACTGATCGCAAGTTTAAAGATGCGATGTAAAGCACTAAACACAGACCTGACACACAGACTTGCAGAAAAAGTAGCTATTACGGTGCCATTATCATTAACAGTAGAAGACAAAGCTTGTGAAAAGCTCAGTGGATAAGAGCACGGGCTGCTCTTACAGTGGACCAGGGTTTGGTTCCCAGCACCCACACGGCAGCTAACAACCATCCATAGCTCCAGGTCCAAGGGATCTGATGCCCTCTTCTGGCCTCTGCAGATTTACATACACATGATATATTTATAAACATGCAAACAAAACACTCCTATACATAAAGTAAAAATGAATTAAAAAAAAAAAAACAATAGAAGACAACTTACCCATGATATGTGGTTTGTTGTTTCTGCCAAATTGTTAATTTTAAGAATACAAGAATGTATAAAGGCAAAACAAGATTACAAGTCGCCTGCACCCCATTACCACCACCAGCAGCAGCAACACTACTCTCCCACCCCCCAGGATGAGACTAGCAGTGACACACTGGATTATCCCAGCATTTGTCTCCTGTCCATGCACACAGACTCCCAAAGGTGAGATGCTTTTGCTCCAGACATAGGATACCAAATGAAAAGAGGTTTGGACAGAGGACTTTGTCAGCCTCCAGGACAAGAGGGCCAGGCCTTTGGTGAGCCATCCCAGGCTCTGTGTTGCTCACAGCTGGTACTTACCTCGCCCCTCCAGCTACAGCTCTGGTGCCTAGCACCAAATATCACATCCAAAGGAAGGACCTTCTCTCCTCCTGCTCCTGTTCCTTAGCAGGACACCCCCTTCTAGAAGCACTGAGGAGTGCTCCCTGCCATCTCTCTGGCTGTGGTTGTGTCCCATGCCTTTGTTCTAAGGCAGAGGAGTCAGGAAAAGCAGACAAGTGTTTGCAGCTGACAAATTGTGTCAGCATATCATTCAGTTTCCACTGTAGTGTGACTTCTGTACTGCACAGAAATCCAGCACAGCAGTGGACACTTGTCAGTGTAATCTCTTCCTTTTTGTTTCCTCTGCCAACTAGGCACCCTAGTTCTTCCTTTAATGACTGCAAGGTATGATCAGCTGCCCTCAACTTGAGCTATGATCTGCCCCCCCCCATAATCTATATTATAGAACCTTATTGATAGACTTCTTTATTTCCAAAGCTGAGGGAATTGGCATTTATGTGAGAGAGGCATGTGGCCTTTCTCCCCGATCTTTCTCGCATACCTGGGTACTGCAGCGCTGGTTCAGTTGTCCCCTGTTCCATCCCCAGGGCATTGGGATTTCCCATTGCTCCTTAGCAGTAGATCTCCTCAGTCAGTGGAATCATCCCACAGTCACACCCTGACATGTCTCCTCCTTTGCAGGTGGTGGAGTTTGACACCCCATCGGTCCTTCTGTCCAATGACAGTTCCCGGTTCTATGCCATGTTTGCTGCTGCAGAGAACAAGGTGGCTGTCAAGGGCTAACACCTCCCAATTGATGAAGTCTCTTCAGAAGTTGCCATTCTCCTCCTGGGTTGGGCCCCTCATCCTGTCCTCCTGCCGAAACCTTGCCTTTCCCAATTTTATCTTTCACATACAGTTCAGGATTAGCTTGTGTTTCACTTTTAGGTAAAGTCATATTTTGATTATTATATTTATTCTCTATTCATGTAAATGAAATTTAGTTTTTGTTCTTAATTGCACTCTAAGAGGTTCAGGGAACCATTACTACAAATGTATCAGAGGCCTATAATGAAGCTTTATATATGTAGCTATGTCTATATCTAATTCTGTACATAGCCTATATTTACAGTGAAAATGTAAGCTGTTTATTTTATATTAAAGTAAGCACTGTGCTGATAGCAGTGCACGTCCCTTTCTATCATGTTTGTACGGTTTACTGTACTAGAGATCTCGTTTTGCTTTTAGACTGTAGGAAAGGTAACATTTTGTTCTCTAGGTGGCTGTGTCACGGTGCTGGGTTTTCTAGGTGTCCAAAGGAAGGCATGTGGCAATATGGGCCTCTGTGACCTGCTCTGTGGGTTCCCCAGTCTAGTGAGCCAGTGGAGCTGGGCTTCAGGAGGCCTTAGAGAGCACCGTGAATTCTCAGGGCTCCTGCTTTCTGTTCTGTGTCACCTGCTTCTGTCCTGGTGTCACATACTGTTTATGTTAGTGCCCCCTCTCCCTCCCTCTAGCAGGAATGAAACCCCCAGAGTTTCTCAGAGGGGGAGTTTCTTTCCTGCCTTCCTCCTTCTCCTGTTGTTTCTAAACAAGAACCAGTCTGTTCAGGTTCCTGATGCTGGCCCCCACACAGAGCTCTTCAGCTCCTAGGCCAGTTGGTTCCAGCCCTGGGGCCGACTGCTGCTGTTTTAGGTGGCATTTTTATTTGCCTGTTCGCACACCTCTACAGTTCAGTGACAGGGTTCAGAATTGGGGGGGTCTGTTCTCCTTCCTCACTACACAGTCTCCTCTCCAAAGTCTGCGCCTTTCAGCAGCTCTTGCTAATCAGTGTCTCACACTGGTCTAGAAGTTTTTTGTACTGTAAAGAGACCTACCTCAGGTTGCTGATTGCTGTGTGGTTTGGTATGTTCCTTGCAGATCCCCTTTGTGCTCTGGGGCCGTAGCTTGGGTGTGGTTGACTGTCATCAGTTCAATGGTCAGCACTGCATGTCATGACCAACTAGACATTCTGTCACCTTAGCATGTTTGCTGAACACCTTATGGAAGCAAAAATCTGAAAAAGTGAATAAAATTATTTCAGATTTGTACCTTGTTGCATAAAATAGTTCTCTGGGGAAGGAGGGAGGGAAGGGGATGTTTTTGAAGGACTTCATTGTGCCAGAGCCCCAGACCTGTGGATCTGATGATAGAATTACATCTGCAAAGAATTGTTTGCAAGGGGCTGTGGGACCCAAGTTCCTGCAGTCATGGGTGGTAGCCCTTAGTCATTAGGTCTGCATTCCTCCATTAGCTACCAAATGAAGCTCCCATGCGTTCAGAGGGCAGGGAGTGGGAAAGGGGAGTGAGCCAAGATGGGTGGTTGTATGTTTAAAATGAACAGACCAGAAGGAGTCCAGCTACTCCATTCAGATCAATCCAATGAAAATTAATGTCCCTTCAAAGGGGTACTCATTCTAAAGTTTGTGATTCGTATTGAATGACAGGGCTCAGATCTAGGCAACCCCAGACCCAGAAACCATGAGGCTCCTAAGAGAAGCTGAGTCAACCAACTCCCAGCCACCTGCAAGTTAACAAAAGCAGCCCCTGGGAAATTAATAACCAATGTATTGTGATCACCAGAGCATGCCCCACAGGCTGACAAACAGGTTTCCCAAGCCCTTAGCTGCAGTTAATTCCTGGAACTCTGTAATCACAGAAAAATGTTTTACAGTAACTGTTTTCTCCAATATGCTTCACCAGGTACAGACCCCATGCTCTCCATTGAGCAAGCAGCCCCCAAAACAGTCCCAAACAGCAGAAAAATGTTCTTTTTTCCTCATTCTTTCCCTTTATAAGCTGCCCCTCTGCAGCCCTTAAGCTGCTGGTTCTTCCTCACACCCAAGTTGAGGACCAGCCCCGCCAAACCCAATAAAACTCTTGCTTTACCAGAGTCCTCTTTGTTTCTGTTTCGAGGCAATCCCGACCCCTGCCACCTTTTTATCTAACATATGGTGCCGTGACTTAGATTGCCTCTTTGGGTATGGCAGTGAGGACTCTGGCTGGACCAACTGCCGAATACCGGCCCCTGCATTCACCATGGATTCGGCCATCAGGTATTCCCCCTCTCTCACTCTTCTTTCTCTCACTCTCTCTTTCTTTCACAGCCCCCTTCCACCCTCTGCTGCCACCCTCCCTCTCCCTGCCATTTGGCACTCTCCTCATCATGACTCCTGGACTCAGAACTTCGGCCACTGGGCAGCACGGGCCTCTGTGACCGTTGAATGTCCGGCATGGTTGCTGTGTCTGCCTAAGCCCACCTGACAGATAGACCCATCCGTCCAGTGCTCTCAAATCCTTTTCCTGATACCTCTCTCCCTCTCCCTCCCTCCCTCCCTCCCTCTCTCTCTCTCTCTCTCTCTCTCTCTCTCTCTGACTCCTTTCTTCTTTGTGCCATACAGTCCTTGGATCTCCTGTTCCTCATTAAATGGTACCGGTACGTCAGGAGATCCCACGTTTTCCCTTCCCTAGACACAGGACGCTGTTTCTAGGGACCTTGGGACACTCATTGGGACGCCTCTCTGGACGTCGGTCTCACACGACAATTTGGCACACCTATTCTCTTATGCCTCTTTCCTCTCTTGTTCTCGTCCTCTCAGTCCTCCTCCTGGCGCTTGTCTTCCTAGTCAGCCTCACTCCCAACCTCCTCTTTCCCTGGAGACACCCATAAGCCTCCCTTTCCCCTCTTTGTCTCCCTTCTCCTCACACTCACTGCCCTTCTCATTCTCTTCCTCGTCACTTTAATTAAAATGGGCAACCTCAATTCTAAACCTACTGGACTCACCCCCCTCGCTTGCCTCTTAAATTCTTTAAAAACTTTAGATCTTCTGGACACTGTCAGACCTAAGCGCCTCAAAGTTTTCTGCACCACTGCCTGGCCACAGTATAAGCTAGACAATGGTTCTGTCTGGCCAGAGACAGAAACCTTAGATTTCAATATTTTAAGAGATTTAGATAACTTCTGCCAAAGTAACTGGCAAATGGTCCAAACCCCCTATATCCAAGCTTTCTTTGCTCTTTGTGCCCAACCCTCCCTCTGCGCTCCCTGCCAGATTGCCAGGTTCTCTTGTAAGACCCTCCAACCGACAGCAATTCCTCTGCCGCTCCTACCCTGCTCCCCCCTCCTGTTCTCAAGAGGTGGCTGCCTCCATAGCAAGGAATGCCCCACCCCCATGCCTCGCCCACCTCTAATGGTCACCAGCCACAGCCCTGAAGGGTCTTGGGTGCCTGCCCGACCCACCCGCGGGCCAGGGAGGGTCACAGCATGAGGCAGGCAGCTCTGGGCCCCAGAGCAGGCAACTCTGGAGCCTGGGAGCCTGGGGTCACAGAGGGTCAGGGGGTCACAGAGGGTCAGGGACCCACTCGGCCACGCCCCCCCCACTGGCAGCTCTCAGCACCTGTGCTGACAGTAGCCTAGGGAGAAGGAGCTATCAGAATTCACCCCCCTTTCTCTCTTAACAATATGTCCCAAATAGAGAAAAAATTAGGATCCTTCTCCACAGACCCAGCCTGCTTCATTCCATGTAAATTATGAGGATGGAAGAGAAGGGAGACGTGCAAGACCAACATTCAGAGAGGTGTCCCTCTGTGGAGAGGGTCCCGAAAATGAGTGTCCCAAGGTCCCTAGAAACAGCATCCTGTCTCATAATTTTATGATTGCTTGCCTTCTTGCAGGATTAGAGAAAACCTCCCATAAAATTGTATAACCCAAAACCCCTTTGAAAACCCAGCACGGTTTCTGGCTGGACTTACTGAGGCAGTACACCAGATATGATCCAGATTCTAGAGATGCTTAACCATCATTTCATCTCACAATCTGCCCCTGATAGTAGGAGAAAACTTAGATGGCTAGAAAGCAGCCTGGATACCCCCCAGGGAGATCTGTTAGAAATGGCATTTAAAGTCTTTAATAACTAGGAGGAGCAGGCTAGGATGGACAAATTTGCCCTAACTAAACAAAAATACCAGCTACTGGCCACAGCTCTATGGGCTCCTCCAAAGAAGACGATCTCCGGCTCCACTGTGACAGAGCATCAGCCGCCAGGACCCTGCTTCAGATGTGGACAGGTTGGACACTGGGCCAAACAGTGCCCCAACCCACGACCACCACCAGGACCGTGCCCTCAATGTGGACAGAGAGGTCACTGGAGGATCGATTGTCCTTCTTTGCCACGTCAAGGTAGGTCAGCCTCCTCCCTGACCTCATGCACTTTGCAGGAGTCCGTCACCAATCTTCTGGTTCTGGCGGCCGAAGACTATGGGACCCTGGTTCCTAAGCCCCCACCTCATCTATAACCATCAATAGGGTATGACTACAGTAGTTGGTAAGTCTAATTCCTTTATTATAGATTTGGGGGCATCATGGTCTCTTCTCCCCTCCTACTCTGGTAGGGTTTTTTTCCTCATAGATCTCCATGGTGGGGGTAGATGGAAGACCCCATTTCCCTAAAACAACAGGACCCTTATCTTGTATATTTTGGAAAACTCCCTTAACTCATGCCTTTTTAGTCATGCCCTCATGCCCATCTCCCTTACTTGGTAGAGATCTTATGCAGAAACTCTCTTTCTCCCTCTCTTTTCTTCCCGCCCCAGTCTTCACTCTCTCCCCTATAGCTCCTCCCACTCAGAACAAAACCTGGCTACTTCCAGCATCTGAGGTTGATCCCCAAGTTTGGGACACCTCCACTCTGGGCCTGGTCTCTCATCACACCCCCATCCACATCGCCCTCAAAGATTCCTCTATGTATCCTTGTAGGAGCTCTCCCTGGGGTTAATTGGCAACCATATTTTACCCATATGCCAGCCTGCAAAATGTTCAGATACCTACTAGTCTTGGTAGATACCTTCTCAGGATGGATAGAGGCTTTTCCCACTACAAGGAAAATGGCAGATATAGTGGCTAACTGTCTAATCCAAAACATCCTCCCCAGCTTTGGCCTCCCGCTCACCCTTCAATCAGACAATGACCCGGCCTTCATCTCTAAAGTAACCCAGACAGTGTCTCATTCCCTGGGAATAACCTGGAAACTACACATTCCCTACCATCCGCAGTCATCAGGCAAGGTGGAACAAGCTAATTCACTTCTCAAGGATCACCTTACTAAACTCTCCTTGGAGTTAACATCAATCATGGGTCGCTCTCCTTCCCCTAGCTCTAAACATGTTACAAACCATCCCACGAGCTCCATCCTTTTTAAGTCCTTTTGAGCTTATGTGTGGCAGGCCTTTCCTCCTGAGCAATCTGCTACTCCAACAATCCTCTCCCCACTCCATGACTGCATACCTGCTTTCACTCTTCTAGGAAAACTCCTCAGGGAGCATGCTGACCGGATTATCCCACAGGTATCCAAAGACCAGATCTCTCATCCCCTTCAGCTGGGAGACTCTGCCTATCTCCTGTCTACTGATCAACACAAGGAACTGAAAGGAACCCTCCAGCTGCGCTGGACTGGACCCCACCTCATGATCCTGTCTACTCCTTCAACAGCCAAACTCCTAAGACAATCAGGCTGGATCCACTTCTCTAAGCTCAAGCCTGCTCAGGAATGCAAGTACCAGGCTGTCTTTACAGGACCCCTAAAACTAAAAATCTCCAAAGTCCCCTCCCTGACTGCCATTGAAGAATGAAGGGCTTTCTTCTCCATCTTCCTCTTCTTCTACTACCACTCACTATTTTTGCTTCCCCCTGCTCAACTCCCCCCTGTAAGTTCACCTTTGAGGTTTGGGAAATTGATGATAAGAATCAAGAAATTAACCTCCTAAATGCCTCCCAATGTTTAACCTCTAACTGTCCATCAGTCAACCTCTTTTTTACACTCCCCAGGAACCCTAGAAACCCAAGATTCTTTTGCTTTCCCAAAGATATACCAGAGACCAGCAGCAGTCATCATCGGGAATCTTTCAGGGAGTGCTCCCATGGCTCTGTCCTTTAATGGGACCCCTAGTCACTATTGGCCTCATTTTAACAGTGGCCCCATGCCTCATCAGCTGCCTTCAGGATCATATCTGCCAATTAACTCATACGAGCTTTAACCAACTGTTGCTTACTTTTCCCCCAGCCAGATATAAAAATTGTCAGGCATGATGGATGGAGAATGCTCTAACACCAGCGGATACCAGGAAACGGCAGCCTGAGAGGAGCCCTTCCAGATCCAGCCTCATCAAACCCCCTTCCCCTTTTGTCTTCGACCTTACCCACCAGGAAGTAGCCAGATGAGAAACTCCATCCCCAATCCTATAATATAAAAGGCTGGAATGACAGGGCTCAGATCTAGGCGATCCCAGACCCAGAAACCATGAGGCTCCTAAGAGAAGCTGAGTCAACTAATTCCCAGCCACCTGCAAGTTAACAAAAGCAGCCCCTGGGAAATTAATAACCAATGTATTGTGATCACCAGAGCATGCCCCACAGGCTGACAAACAGGTTTCCCAAGCCCTTAGCTGCAGTTAATTCCTGGAACTCTGTAATCGTAGAAAAACATGTTTTACAGTAACTGTTTTCCCCAATATGCTTCACCAGGTACAGACCCCACACCCTCCATTGAGCAAGCAGCCCCCAAAACAGTCCCAAACAGCAGAAAAATATTCTTTTTTCCTCATTCTTTCCCTTTATAAGCTGCCCCTCTGCAGCCCTTAAGCTGCTGGTTCTTCCTCACACCCAAGTTGAGGACCAGCCCCGCCAAACCCAATAAAACTCTTGCTTTACCAGAGTCCTCTTTGTTTCTGTTTTGAGGCGATCCCGACTCCTGCCACCTTTTTACCTAATATTGAATGCAGCCCAAAGAAGTGTTTAAACAGTTAAATATTAATTCTTTGACCATCAGTGGAAATCATCTCTTAGACCTAGCCCCCATCCCTTTTTTTAAAAATTTTAAATAAGTTACTAATGAATTGAAAATTGAAAAATAGTCTCTATGGTTCTAAAGTTCCAGGGGAATCTGATGCCGTTTTCTGACCTCTGAGGCATTGCATGACATGGGTGTACTCACATACTTGCAGGCAATATACACATAAAATAAAAATAATAAAATATATGTGTGTATATACACACACACATATATATGTGTGTGTGTATGTGTGTGTGTGTGTGTGTGTGTGTGTGTCTTTTTGAAGCAGGGTCTCCCTGTAGCCCCAGCTGTCCTGGAGCTCACTATATAGATTTTTTTTTTTAATTTCAGTTCTTCAGTGGGTGTGGGAATAACTATTTGTAGTCCCAGCACTTGAGAGTCTGAGGCAGGAGCAGCTCAAGTTCCAAGCCAGCCTGGGCTACATAAGGAGATCCTATTTAAAAGGCATGGGGGGGGGGAGATGTTGCCTGCAACTACTGATTTATACAGTACAGGTATGGAACATGTCTATCATCACAAAATCTCTGCCAAGCAGAACTGGTCTAGACCCAAACCCCCATTGATACAGCACTAGCTTTCATCTTCCCAGCAGGGCAACAGCTTCAGAGAGATGCCTCTGGGAAGGTCTTCATGCCCCACTTGTACCTGACAGCTTCCTCCCTCTTCCCATGCTGTTCTCAGCACTTTAGGTTGACCTCAGTCCTCCTCCTTAGCTCCAGAAAAGAAAGTTACTTTCCTGACTTGTGCATCTGTATCCCTCTCCCTGTAAGGAGTCTCACTCCAGTGCGGGGACAAACCAGATGTGAGCATGGCTTCTCATAGGACTGCCCCATGCTGCCTGCTGAGGGGCTCTGCTGGCATGTCCCAGGTACCTCAACAGCATTCTTTGTCTTAGTAGTGCCACTGATCTACAGCCCCGAGCTCATCTCTAACTCTCCTGCCCCTTCTTTCAAAAGATGTGTGCCTATGAGTGTCTATATGTGTGTGTGTGTGTGTGTGTGTGTGTGTGTGTGTGTGTGTTAGCGAGCTTCATGAATGCTATCCAGGTGTGCTACCATTGAGCTAATACCCAACCCTCACATCAGTTCAGTCATTTTCAAGTCCAGTACAGCATCACTGCCACTTCTGTCTCTGCCCTAAGGCCCAGCTCCCTTCCCTTTCTTATTATAGTTACAGCCTCTAAACTGTGTCAGTGTCCCTCTGAACTACCAGATATACTGCTACCAAAATACCAAAAAATTGGGTTGCTTAAGTATTTCACCCTCCCAAAACCTTAAGGGACAGTTGCCTAGTACAGCACATAATGAACCCAAAAAGAGAACATAAAGCAGAGGGGAACACACAGAATGGTGGGACCAGGGGGGTAAAATGTTAGAGACTGCACAGGAAAGCCCTTGCTGAGAAAGTAGCTAGCTACTGATCTACTCCGTGTGACCAGTCAACTTTTGTCGGTTAGTGAAGTGTTTCAGCTTTTCATTTTTCCATGTCTTTAAATTTGATCATGTTAAGGCAATTTCCACTCTCCATTTCCAAGTAGGCTGGTAGCTGTTAACAGTGGACCTATGCTCTTAGAAGTTAACCGTGATTCATGAAGGATGACGATTGCCATTCATGGACCCAGGTCACTCTCCCCGCCTCTACACCTCTAAACTTAGAAGTTTTCAGTGGATCCTTTGAACTGGGCTGGTAGGTCAGGCAGAGAGCGGAGTGGCTGGGCATTATGTTTGCAGGGGTTCTATTGGCTGGAATTCACATCAACTGTACTTGTGTAATAAGTACTGTCCTAAGGATTTTCAGTCTGACCTTTACTGAATTTTCTCAACCTTTTTTTTTTTTTTCGGTCTTTTTGAGACAGGATCTCCCTGTAGCCCCAGCTGGCCTAGAACTCACTCCGTAGTCCAGGCTAGCCTCAAACTCACAGAGATCCACCTGCCTCTGCCTCCCAAGTGCTGGGACTAAAGGTATGCACCACCATGCCTGGCTTTCTCAACCTTTTGACAAGGTAGGACTTACTAAACAAATTTTGCTAGTAAGGACAACTTCAGGAAGATAGTGTTTCAGGTTATACTTCCAGAAGACTGTGACTCACACAGAATTCAAGCCCAAACAGCCTGATTCCAAAGTTCGGTTTTATCAGGAGTAAGTGCTTGGCCTAGGCACACTCCAAATTTCTTCGAGCTCTAATTCTGTGCAGGATGTAAGCCAATAAATACAAGCAGCAAAGCCTGGGTCTTCCAATGCCGTTTGAAGTCAGAACTGTGCTCATTCCTACCAGGCCCCAGGAGGGAGAAAAGGGGAGAGTTCGCCTTTTTTCCCGCCATCTTCTCTGTACCTGGACTCTTCCTCTGATTTGGACTTAGCATCACCCATGGCTCAGACAAAATCCCTTGTTCCCCTTAGGTGGATTCAACTTAGGAGCGCTCCACTAGCTGCTGCCCAAATGAGAACTGTCAGGCTAGCAACTTTTCCCCATGGCTCTGGCACAGCATCTTCCTGAAAAGGAACCTCATCGCCCAGCTGGGACTGGACTAGTTTTCAACCAGGTAGGCTCGGGCACACTTAGCAGTTGGGGTAAATACACCGACCTTGGATTTGCAAGGGTTAGGCGCACTGGTCTGACCCATTTTTTGTGCCTTTGACAGAATTTAGTAGCCCCTGTCCTGGACTCATTCTGGTCCTTGGTGAGTGGCAGTGTACCTAGGAGTCCCCTGTGCTTCCTTCTGGTCCTCCAGAACCTCAGGTGCCTAACTTCCCATTCTACTTCGCTACATACTAGAGGACTTCAGTATGTTCTTCTTTTCCTCTAAAAGATCATTTATTGAGCATCCATTAAGTGCCAGGCACTACACTGGGCACTGAAGACCTCAAACACCTCTGTGCTAATTCCTTGCCACAACAGTGGAGAGTGCAGGACTGGGGCAGCCATGTGCCATTTGTACTGGCATTCCTAGTTAGCTAAGCAAAGCACTTTTTGGCCAAGAGAAGTGGTACATGCCATTCCCATGTGTCCTACACAATCACATTCTACCCTTAGGGCCCCCCACCCCAGCTGAGCCCTGGTGTCCTCACAGAAAGACCACCCTTCTGATGTCAGTACTTTACTGCTCTATCTTTCATAGTTTTTTTTTTTTTACAGACTTTCTTTTGGATACTGTGTCCGCCACATGATAATCCAATCCCTTTTCAGAATTTGATATCAAGAAAAGTCTCTGTTTCTCAAGAGAAGCAGCATTCATAAGTTGTGGAACACATCATTTCTCCCTTCGGCTGGCAGGAAGTTCAAGCACATAAGGTGTTTATCTCAGCCTGTTTCCCTTATCCTTGGGAAGGTTTTGAATCTTTCCTTTTGACTATCTTGAATATATTTAACTTTTTATCTATTTTTATTTTATATGTATGAGTGATTTGCATGCATGGATCTAAGTGCACCATGTGTTTGCACTGCCTGTGGAGGCCAGAAGAGGGTATCAGGTTCCCCTGAACCTAGAGTTAAGGATGGGTGCTAGCTGCTATGTAGGTGCTGAGGACCAAATGTGGGTCCTGGCAAGAGCAACCAGTGCTCTTAACCTCTGTCCTAGTTTGTCTCTCCATTGCTGTAACAAAACACTCAGACCAATACCAACTTGGGGAGGAAAGGGTTTATTCAGCTTACATCTCCCAGGTCACAGTTCATCAAGGAGCCCAAGGCAGGAATTCAGGGCAGGAACCTGGAGGCAGGAGCTGGAGCACAGGCTATGGAGGAATGCTGCTTACTTACTGACCTGTTCCTCTGGTCTGTGCTCTGCCTGCTTCATTACACAACCCAGGACCACCTGCTCAGGGGTGCCACCACCCATAGTGGACTGGGCCCTCCCACATCACTCAATAATCAAGAAGATGCCCTACAGACATGGACACAGGCCAGTCCAATGGAGGAAATTCCCAAATTGAGGCCCCCTCAACCCAGGTGTGTCAAGTTGACACTAAAGCTATCTAGCATAACCTCCAAGCCATCTCTCCAGCCCCTATTTAATATTTTTAATACCTGCCTAAATGATTTTTAATAAAACATATGCTGAGTACAATAAAGACCTTCAGGTTTGATGAAAAGTTCTAGCCCTGTAGCTCTTTGAAAGCAGAAAACACTGTAAGACTGAAAACTGTGGCACTGTGGTTAAGGAGCTGGTGGCTCTTCTCCACTTCCTTCAGACATGAAATTTGTCTGAGCCCTGAGTTTTATGCACTTTGAAGCATAGCGTGGTACTGAAATATTTAGCTATCTTCTCCACCTTTCCTCATGGCTGAGTTTGAAATTCCACTGAAACACCCAGAAGATTTATAAATGCTTAGTTTGTGGTAGACAGTCAGGCTTCATGGCATTGTTCCCATCTACACAACTGGGCACTTGGTGTCAGTGTGTGCTGTTCATAGTGTGGTTGAGAGGAAAAGAAAGCACTGTTAATAAAATACACAAAACAGGCTGGAGAGCTGGTGTAGCCGTTAAAGGCTCAGGCTCACAACCAAAAAGACAAAATACACAAAACAGGCCAAGATCCTCCAGCCCTGGTCTTCTTCATGGTCTCTGAGTTTATACTTCTTTTGGTTAGGAATTC